GTGTGTGTGTGTGTGTGTGTGTGTGTGTGTGTGTGTGTGTGTGTGTGCGTGCGCGCTCTCAACACGTTTGCAGATGCAGTGGATCAGGGCTCACATGCAGTAGTAAAAGATATTGATAAATAGTTGATATTGCTAAATGCTATTGATTAAAGGAGCTCCATATGGGATACAGAGCATCTCTATTGCCTCCACACGGCTCTCAACATGGCGATAGCTGAGCCGGTGGTTAGCAGCTGGACATTACTCATTAACAGGTAGACATTACTCCACCATAAGACAATAGCTGTTTACTGCTGTATTCATGCTGAGAATGATCCATAGAGGACCTTTAATCATTGAAAAACCTTTTCACTGTTACACAACGTTTAACAGGTTCACACGATGTTGTGTTAATCAGATGAACTTTAGGCTTCTGCTGCCGACAGATCGATGTATATTTGTTCTGTTCAGCTTTACTGATATCAGCATTTTACATCACGCCACGTGCATCGTGTGTGTGTGTGTGTGTGTGTGTGTGTGTGTGTGTGTGTGTGTGTGTGTGTGTGTGTGTGTGTGTGTGTGTGTGTGTGTGTGTGTGAGAGAGAGAAAGAGAGTGTGTTGAAATCTGGTCATATTTCAAAATAACTTAATGTAGAAAGGATGTAAATGTAAACGCTTCTTGTTAACAGACACAGGAGGGAAAGTGAAACATGAACAGCCGTTCTCATTGTCTGATTATGAAACACAGAGGAACGTTTTATTGCTTTCACTCCCCATCTTATCTCCTCTTAGCTCGGGGTCGAGCTGATATGTTATCTTACCGGAGAAAATGTATAATAATTTCTCGGAAGCACGAGCAAAACTGACGAGGTTTGCTTATTGTGCGCTTGTTGATGTTCCTCCTCATGAAGGCCAGATGGCTCTGACTCCTTAATGTGAGAAGAGAAGAAGAAGAGAAGCAGTTATTTTAATTGGCATCATATTTGTTAAGAGTTTGTTTCTCATCCTGATTTTACAAGTTCACACAGAATTTTCTCTGCTTCGCAAATCAATGTCATTTCCTCCGCTGCATTGAAATGAGTGGAATGTACTGCTTTCACACAATGGTGTGATTGTGCACAGTAGGAAAGTCTCCAGACAGTATTTGACTGCTAACTCACAAGAATGAGCCCGTTGACCGGCCGGCTGCCGCCGTCAGGAGATGATGAGTGGACGACGGGTTCCACCGGTGAACCAATCTATTCTAATATCCAGCTGTCGCTCCCCGATGGAGGCAATAGGGAGCGGCTACGCGTCACCTGTTTGGAAGCGGCGTGCTGCAGCGTATTTCATCTTCTGCACGTGGGGGGGGAAATAAACAACCCAAAAACATTTTCATTCACCGCCGTTTCTGCTACATTAAGTCGGCTCACTCCGAGAGAAAATACGCCCAACAATACCTGAAGTGCATCATAAAACTTTATTGATCTTCTGTAAGGAAATTAAAGAAAGGCCGATATTTCTCACGGCACAAGAGTTGAGGAAAGCATCCATCTGCCGAGAGTTCTAGGAACCGGGGAATGTTCCTGGTCGTCCATTATACGAGATCACATACCTATTCAGAGAAAGCCTTCTGTGAAAAGCACTCTGAAGTATCTGGATATGAATAGAAGTATTATGTGTTGATTTTCCTAAATATAAACACAGTGAAGGGAAACCAAACCCCTGAGGAAAAAACCTTCCATTCGTCTCACGCGACCTGTTGTACATTCCAACTCCAAATAAACCTACCCATGAACCTTTACTTCTCGCCCCATTATGTATCACTTATAAACAGCTTATGAATACATAATGAATTGCTTATAACACACAATACTGTCGTTGTGAGCAGATTTAAGAATATTTTAAATAAATAAACACGTATGTTTGTATCCGTCAGTAACCTCCAGATCTAAAAAGTGAGGCCAATGTGTTAAAGCTGCATTCTCTCTAGTGTCCACCAGGGGGCGACTC